GCAACCTTGGCCGAAGCAGCCTTACTCACCTCCGTCTCCATAACAGTAGAGTTTGGATTCCGCACTCCAAGGTTATGTGGGGTTGGTATGATAAAACAAAAGGAAATATAAAAAAAGAAAAGTAATATATATGGGGCAAAATTCCTCAATTGTCCTAACTTAAAATCGAAAGTCTTCAAATCGGGCTGATTTTTGCACAAACTTTAATACTATGGGAGAGAACTTTACCCATAAAATATTAAGATATTTTATTAAAAATTGTAGGGGGGAGAGGGGGTTAAAGTTTTTGGTAACGTGTGGACAGTGGATTCTTTTAGCTAATATATAGCTAAAATACAGTAGAGTGGACAAAATTTTGACCTATATGTTTTCCAAAGGTTTTTTCCTCCTCTTTCGAATGGTGTAAAAAATTTTTTTTTTAATTAACAATTTAACTAATTTTTTTCAAAATTAAAAATGTTTTTCACTTTTTTTTAAAAAACGGCATTTTTTTTTCTCTTTTTTTTGCTTTAAAATAAAGCTTAATATGTGTACTTTCTATAACTGATTCTGAAAAAATGACGTTTTTTTTGTTTTCGAATTATTAATTAATTAATTAATAAAAATCAGTAAAACATTACTAAAAAATGAAATATTTTTTAAGCAAGTAAACTTTTCTGAATTATGAGATTATCATCGTAAAGCTTACCTAATTCCGCATCCAACAAGTATAACTACACCTATTTTTACAAATAATTGTTAAATAAATAAATAATTGAAAATTTATTTATTAATTTTTTGAAATTGTTTATAAAAAATAGTTAAAAATAAACTTGTTGGGTGCGGAAGTTGGTAAGCTTTACGTTGGCAAGCGCAAAATTAAGAAAAGTTTATTTCTTTGAAAAATTATAATTTTTAAAATAATTTTTATTAATTAATTAATAAATAATACGAAAAGAAAAATGTCATTTTTTCCTAATCGCGTATTAAAAGTACACATATTAAGCTTTGCTTGAAAGATTCTAGTAATTTTTTCTTGTAAAAAACCTTTGTTATATCAAAAAATTTTTAAATGAAAAATGAAAACCAAATTATGATTTTTCAAAAGCATAACAATCAAAGCATACATTCTTCTTAAGGAAATTTCTTTTTGATGCAGCAAAATATATTCATAAATTAAATGTAATTATATTGTGGTTTGCAAACTTTTGCAATTCGAAATGATTCGAATTTTCTGTTGTCGAGTCGATTAATGTTCGGTTCGACTCGATTAAATGCACACCTCTATTTCATATGCAAATTGCTTCTTTTTTTATGATAGAATAGTCATTTAAAAATATTAATATAAAACAAATTATGAAAAAATACAAAATTTGAATTTTTTGTGAAAAAGAAAAATTTCTATTAATTTTATAAATTTTGATAAAAAATATACTTTGTATACATCAACCGATTCGTTTTCTTGTCAGGAATGTAATTTTGAGAATAATTAATTAAAATATTAACAGATAAAAAAATTATTTACAAAAATACAAAAAAATTTTTTTTTGAATTTAAAAAAAATTGTATAAATTTTTTTTTTTAGATATTTTTGAAAATCCTTGTGTCAGATTTTAGGTATTAATGACTGCAATAAACCTGCAAAATTTCAAGACAATCCATCAAAATTTGTTTGAGATAATTTGTACACAATTTTTGTGACATACACACACACATACACACATACACACACATATACATCTGGACATTTGCTCAGAATTGAATAAACATATGTTATAGATGAAAATGAGTCCATATAACCTTCTTTTGAAAAATTGAAAATCGTCACAAATGCAAAGCTTCCTTTTGAGGAAGCAAAAATGTCATTTTTCCAAAAATAAATAAATAAATAATCAATTTTTTATTTATTTAACAATGATTTATAAAAAACAGTTTAGTTTATGCTTGCTGGATGCGGAATTTTGTAAGCTTTACGATGATAAGCTCATAATTAATAAAAGTTTATTTGCTTGAAAAATATTTAATTTTTTAGTAATTTCTTACTATTATTAATTAATTAATTAATTATTCGAAACACAAAAGAAAACGGCACTTTTTCCTAATCGAGTATTGAAAGTACACATATTGAGCTTTATTTTAAAGCAAGGAAGAAGAAAAAAAGTTCTTTTTTCAAAAAATTAATAAATAAATTTTCAATTATTTATTTATTTAACAATTATTTGTAAAAATAGGTGTAATTATACTTGTTGGATGCGGAATTAGGTAAGCTTTACGATGATAATCTCATAATTCAGAAAAGTTTACTTGCTTAAAGAATATTTTATTTTTTAGTAATTTTTTACTGATTTTTATTAATTAATTAATTAATAATTCGAAAACAAAAAAAACGTCATTTTTTCAGAATCAGTTATGGAAAGTACACATATTAAGCTTTATTTTAAAGCAAAAAAAAGAGAAAAAAAATGCCGTTTTTTAAAAAAAAGTGAAAAATATTTTTAATTTTGAAAAAAATTAGTTAAATTGTTAATTAAAAAAAAAAATTTTTACACCATTCGAAAGAGGAGGAAAAAACCTTTCGAAAACATATAGGTCAAAATTTTGTCCACTCTACTGTATTTTAGCTATATATTAGCTAAAAGAATCCACTGTCCACACGTTACCAAAAACTTTAACCCCCTCTCCCCCCTACAATTTTTAATAAAATATCTTAATATTTTATGGGTAAAGTTCTCTCCCATAGTATTAAAGTTTGTGCAAAAATTAGCCCGATTTGAAGACTTTCGATTTTAAGTTAGGACAATTGAGGAATTTTGCCCCATATATATTATAGTAAATTTAATAAACTGGCGACCTACTACCAGCCCGACCCACTAAAACCCGTAACCCTTCTTCTGGAGCCCTTTACCCTCCCTCGGAACTGTCGTATGACTTTAGCCATCGAGGGTGGCGCTCCAACTCTGTCGCTAATGCGACCTTCTTTTTCTCTCTGCGGTTTTCCTGCTTCCATAATTAAAAATTTAAAACTATTTCAATATAAAAGCGGAATTAACAGCACAACAGTAATAAAAAAAACAAATGTTTAATTAAGTGTAAACAGTCAAAAGATAAAATTGCAAACGGATATACAAAAAAAAGAAAAAAAAACGCGTATATAATATTGAAAACATAAAACAAATTAAAAAATATAGAAGGACAAGTAAATCACAAAATAAATTGAATTAACTTGACTGTTTACACCTTCGAACATGGCCTGCCTCTCCAAGTCCCATTTCTTGCATGAGAAGAGGGTGTGCTCCGCGTTGTCCTCAGGGAACTGGCAATATGCACACACCTCGTCCTCGCGTAATTTAAAGCGGCACAGGTACGAGTTAAAACACTGGCAATATGCACACACCTCGTCCTCGCGTAATTTAAAGCGGCACAGGTACGAGTTAAAACACCCGTGACCTGTGAGCGCCTGAGTCAGATAATAGGAGACTTCTCTATGCTTTCGGTTTATCCAGGTAGTGAGTGTTGAAATCAGACGATAGGTCCATCTGCCCTTTTCCTCCCCATCCCATCTGTCCTGCCATGTCTCGATAAGTCTGTTTCTCGCGTGTTTGCGGATGCGGTCCTTGCTAGGTCTTTCTTCCTCTGGGTACTCGGGATTATTTTTTCTTTTAAAAAGAAGAAATACTTCCTCCCTTTCCCTTGCCATAAGATCTGCTGGCGGGACACTTGCAAGGACTTGCACAGCACTCGTCGAGACCGTCTTATACGCAGAGACGATACGGGTAGTAACACATCTCTGCGCAGACAGCATATTATCGCAAATGGTTTTGCTTCTTGTTTTAAGTGAGGGAGCCCACGCTGCTGCTGCGTAAAACAGCTTAGCGTGGGCAACACTAATCCCCAGTCTCCTTTTCCTTTCACGTGGTCCGCGAACGTTTGGCATAAGTCGTGCCAAGTCTGACGCACACTTTATCGCCTTATTCAAGGCCGTCGCTATATGGTAATGGAAGTTTAACCTTCCATCGAGCTCCACTCCTAAATACTTAATATGTTTACTCCACTTGACCTCGAATTCGTCTATCACGATTCGCCAAGTCTGACGCACACTTTATCGCCTTATTCAAGGCCGTCGCTATATGGTAATGGAAGTTTAACCTTCCATCGAGCTCCACTCCTAAATACTTAATATGTTTACTCCACTTGACCTCGAATTCGTCTATCACGATTCGTGGGAAACTATAACCACGTCTGTCTGTGACGAGCAGAGCTTCGGTTTTTTCCAAGGCCATTTGAAGACCTCTCGCATCCAACCAGCTTTTAACTCGCCGCAGACATTCGTTCACCAATGTCCCAAGGGCTTCCTCGCTTTCGGCTGAGCACACGACCAACGCATCGTCCGCAAAGCCGATGATGACCGCGCCTTCAGGTAGACCCATTCGCAGGAAGTTATCATAGGATACATTCCACACGAATGGTCCCACCCTCGAGCCTTGGGGGGCACCACTTTGCATCTCTTCCTTCAGAGTCCAGTTGTCCCCCTCATATATTACCCACCTGTCGCTAAAATAATCATTCATTATCCGCAACAAGTAGGGCGGTATTCTTTTCTCCATCATCGACTGGATGAGATCTTTCCATCGTGCGGAGTTAAACGCGTTACGTATGTCAATAGCCACCAATGCGCAGAAGCCCTTCTTCTTCTTTGGTCCCAATTTGTTTTTTCCCGCTTTGGCTATGTCCACAACTGCCTGAATGGCATCAACCGTGGACCTGCCTTTGCGGAAACCAAATTGGTAATCGGATAGACTATTCTCTCCGGTCAAATGGGTTTGCATTCTCTGCAGAACCTTTTCTTAGGAGGACTAGCCTCTGCCGCTTCCAGTCGCGGAAGAACTCTCCTTTCTGAAGGCAAAGATTGAAACATCGGAGCAGAATCTGGGGTGAAGTGTCGATAACCAATTTTAGGATCTCGTTACTTATCCCATCGATTCCAGGCGCCTTGCCTGTTTTCAATCTTCTACCTGCATTTCTCAATTCTGTAAGAGTGAAGAGTTCCTCCTCACCGACTTCGCAGGTACTCCAGTCCTTTCTAACCCACTGTTCTGCAGGAGGAAATAGAGCTCTTATAATCCTTCTGACCCAATCGGGATTGTCCAGGCCGGGGGTCTTTTGCCTCGTTCCTAATTTCTTAGTAACGATTTTAAAAACCAGACCCCATGGGTCCTTCTCGACATCATCAATTAGGTCTTTCCAGCAACGGCGTTGTGACGCTCGAATCTCTTTTTTCAGGCTTTTCTTGGCCTCCTTAAATACTTCCTTTAGCAAAGGATCTCCCTTAGAATGGGTATAATTCCTTCTAGCTTTGAAGCACGCTTTCCGCAAGGAGGCCAGCGCATCAGACCACCAGTGCACCGAGCTTTTCCGTGAAGGGGTTCGCTTACGACGCGGCATAGATGCATCGCAAGCTGTGGTGATGACTTTCCTTACCGCTCGCACCTCTGCATCCAGGGTATTTGGCCTCTTCACCCATCCCGATTCCTTAATAAGGCGGGCTTCTTCTAGGGCACGGACAAATTTCTCCTTATCGATTTTCTTCACATTCCATGAGGGGCACTTTCGACACGGAACTTCCTGTCTTTTGCCTCCTCCTGTGTCTCCCACTGAGACCGAAAACTCGATATACTGATGGTCACTTGCGGTATACTCCTCAGAGACTCGCCAGTCGCTTATGCGTTTGAATAAGGGAGTTGATGCTATCGTAAGATCAATGATGTATCCGATTGCACCCCTCCTGAACGTCCAAGCTCCTCCCCGGTTCACAGTAATTAAACTGTTTCTGGAGACCATTTCTCCGATCACTTTGCCTCTTTTATCGAACCTTGACTCGCCCCACTCCGGCGACTTAGCATTAAAATCGCCAGTGACAAGTACATCCAACCTGGATTCTCTAATGCTCGATTCGAGTTCTTCCATGTCGGCTTCGAAGTCCGTCAGTGGATCATTAGGCGAAAAGTAACAGCTATACATTCGTATGTCTCCAACTTCCACCCAGACAAATCCAATGCTCGTCTCCAGGTATCTGTCAACCCTCAGTTCGGGATTGCACACCTGGACAGCTGCCCTACCCGACTTATCTTGATACCAGGAACCTAGGTCGATTTTTCTGTATTGCTCGCTGCAGAACAGAATGTCGATACCCTTTTCCCTGGCCGTCTGCGTCAGAAGGGCCTGTGCCTCTCTGCACGTGTGCAGGTTGACCTGCAGAAGTTTTAAGGATTTGCCTTTTTAAATCTCTGCAACTCCTCTCTGTAAACCGGACAAGAACCTTTTCCGGCGACATGAAGTACGTCTGTCTTAGCCAAGTCAGAGCACGTCAAACACTTAGGCTGTTTGACAGAGCAATTCTTTGCGATATGACCCTCACCGCCGCATCTCCGACAGCTTTTAGTTCTGTCGGGGCCCTTGCAATTTCGAGTCACGAGTCCGTAAACAAGACACTTTTGGCATCTTGCTACCTCTAAATGCTATCTGACTGCAGCATTTATCCATCCTACTTTTATTTTGCCCACTTTTAGCAGAGAATCGCTCTCTGCTTCAGTCAGGCGGACCAACGCCACTTTTGTGCCACTAAAACGTGGCAAAAGTCTGCACTCTATGTCCAGGTCAGGCTTTTCCAGCTTTGTCCTCACGGCAGAAACAACGTCTTCACTTGTCGCTGTTTCGTCAAGTCCTTTTATCTCGAGAGTTCTTTTATTCACAAGAGGCATAACCTCGGCTTCAGTTTTTAAAACTGAAGCAAGAGCTCCTGCAAATTTCAAGATCTCTCCTCCTTTTTTTACCACGATCAGGGCCTCCTGATTAAAAGTTCTCCTGATCTGAAGGACCTCATTTCCAGATTCTTCTGGTTTTACGGCTGCAAACGCCTTTTTTAGGATTTCGTTGTAAGCCTTTGGGTCTTTCGCTGAAATCGTAATTGCTTCCGTTGTCCTAAGCTTCAAATGATGTTTGGGGAGCTCATTTTTCTTTCCTGTAAGCTTCTTCTTTGGAGGTCCTTTGTTTCCTCTGCTGACTACTTTAAATTCGTCAGATTCTGCCGATGCATTCCTTGAGGTGACTGAACCATAAGTCTCCCCTGAGGCCATCTTTTCACTTCCCTTTGTAAGTATAGGGTTTTGCGCTGGAGCTTCATTGCACTTAACCCTCTTTTCCACTGGAGTTTCCTTCTGAAGACTTGCCTCCGGACTTTCGTTCTCTCTGGGGCGTTTTCTATCAGTTATATCGCTTCCCTTAACAAACTCTTGAGTTCCTTTCTTTGGCGTACCAGGATTCGAGTTTGACGTATCCATACTTAGAGTATGAGGCTCAGGATTTTTAAACGGCTCAGGGATAAAACGCAAGTTGCTGCGAATCACCTCGTGCGCCCTCCCTATAGCCACTATACCATCCTGAACATCTTTACTTATGTTCTTTTGCTTCTTGCAGGCACGCCACATGCTTTCTAGTATTTTTGGAATCATGTCGACTTGCTCAACAACATTTCTTTCGAAGCTGCTGAGCTCCCTATCCAAGCAATTTAGGTTTTGGCCCCCCCCAAAATCCGTGGGGCCTGCGACGGTCTTAGAAAGACCGACGGGAGTATTGTCCCCTTGCGGGGTTCCTCCTTGGGGTAATTCATTAACACCTTGACTCATATTCATTAATTTTTTGGTTTTTTATATCAGGGAACCACCCTGTTGGTTGTCCTTTAGTGAAAAGCCCCGCCACCACGGCAAGGTCTACCGAACATATCCAAGATGCCAGTTGTGTCTGGCAGCGGACCCACCTCTCCCAACTCATCAAAGAAATCAATCATGTCCGGCAGTGGTCCCACTTCTCCCAGCCCATCAAAGAAATCAATGATGTTGGGCAGTGGATCCACTTCTCCCAGCACATCAAAGAAATCAATGACATTTGGCAGTGGATCCGCTTCTCCCAGCACGTCGAAGACATCGATGATGTTCGGTAGTGGACAACCATCGGCGGGGATTATTATTATTATTATTATTCCCCCCGATGGTTGGCACCTTGTCGCGGTGGGTGGGCTTTAAGGCAAACTGAAGGAGCTTTTCTTCCCCTTTTCTGCGGCAGGAAAGCTTTACCGGTTTTCCTCTATCTAAGATCAATCACTGACATGGAGAACTGATGCAATATTTTTATAGAAAAAAGGGAATAAGTGGCGAACTGTTTAGGGCTCATTCCTTTCTGCGGCCGATCGAGTTCTCGGTTGCTTCTCGGCTCCTTGCTCCTGCAGTGCTTAGTACCGATGAGGATTGACTTGCTAATCTGTGCGGTAAATCCTGTGTTTAACACTCGATTTCCAAACGGAGGCAGTGACCACTTGCGCGGGCTAAACCCCGTTGTCCTTGTGGTTCCAGCAACCCTAAGAAGGAATGTTCGTTTGGTCGTTCTTCCAGACTGGGGAAGCTGGTTTTCCAACTCTGCGAAAGGGACTGTTGGACTCTCGGACCTCCGTGCACCCTGCAAATAGCAGTACATTACGGAGGTTTCACTTTACACATATTTCACAAACATATCACATACTTACATGCTAAGGGAAGGAACCCCGAAAATAAATACAAACCTTTTTTGAGAATTATGAACAAGTTAAATACAGAAAATAAAGTTACCCAGCAGGGGAATTCGGAAGCCCCAGTGGCGTCGGTTCAGGGTGCGCAAGCAGGCCCTGAGGTGTCGAGATCCTATGACTGCAGTGATTCATCGGTGGCTCGCTTGGTTGATGAATCATTAATAGCTACAAGTGTTAGCTCGAAGTTAGAGGAAGAGACGATGGAAACAGAGAGCGTAATGCCCTGTACCTCCATCATGGAAACGGGAAAGGAGTCCTTTGAGGTGCGGACTGCTTCGCGGATCGTTGAGGGATGGGAAGTCATCCGTGGACTTTTTACGAAGCAGTCTGTCGTGATTGATCAACTCCTTCAATCACTTAAAATAGTGAACGAAGGAATGCTCAAAAATAACTCAAAGGAGGTTAAAATCAATGCCAGGGAGGCATACCAGTATGGTGGAAGCCTGAGAGGCATCATAGACGATTTAACGGAGGAGGGAGACAGCTTCTTTGATAAGTTACAGAAGGAAGACTCCCTTCTCCAGAAGAGAGCTCGAGGCCGTCAGGGTATAACGACCCTGGCAACTCTGAACTCAGAAAGAAAAGGAAAGAAGAGAGATGCCTCTGGGACCCCACCAGAAAAATCTGAAAAAAAGAAAGGCAAAACAGACGAGCTGGCCTCCGTGGAAAGCATGCCTGTTTCCAAAGAAACAAAAAATTTGAACTCTCTCCAGGAGAATGATAACTGGAAAGAGATCAAAGGAAAGAAAAACAAAAACAAAAAGAAAAAAGAGGTGGAAAATAGGGAGAAGAAACGAAAGTCAACACCCCCCTAAAAAGAAGGGAAAAAAGACGGATGCTATCGTGATATCCACGGAAGATCCGGATATAATGGCGAAAATGAAAGCGGCGGTTAAGCCTGCGGATACGCAGACGGAGATACTGTCGATTCGGAGGACCAAAAGGAACGATCTCCTTCTGGTTCTCAAAAGAGGACAGGGCGTCTCAGATTTCAGCAGTGCTTTAACCGCTGCGCTGAAAGGAAAGGCAGAGGTAAGGACTGTGGTTTCGACGAGGTCGATAGAAGTTATGGACCTCGACGAAAGCATAGTCGAAAATGAAGTTGTGGAGGCGTTTCTGGGTGCGCTAGGCAGCCCAAGCCTAGAAGTTCCTTGCCGGCTCCTCGCTCGGTACGGCAACACTAAAATGGCGATTCTTCAACTCCCGGAAACGGATGCAGAGTCGTTGTTGGGGGTTGGCCGAGTGAGGATTGGGTGGGTCAACTGCAGAGTCCACGCTAGGGTGGAAGTAGAGAGGTGCTTCAGATGCCTCTGTTACTGGCACCTGGCGGGAGGATGCAGTGGCCAAGACCGAAAGGCGGCTTGCTGGAGGTGTGGAAGTCTCGACCACAAGAAGAGTCAATGCAAGGCAGAAGCCAAGTGCATTGACTGTTCTGATCGTAGGCTGAAAGAGACGAAACACTCTTCGGGGAGCAGGGCATGCCCGTTGTACTGGAAGATGCTGACAGATCTGAAATCCAGAGCTTAGGTTTCTCCAAGTAAATCTTAGGAAGGGACAAATCGCGCAAGATCTCTTGATGCAGACTGCCAGAGAGAGGGGAGCTGACATATTGCTTTTCAGTGAGCAATATAGGAAGCCAGAATCCTCTGTCTGGTTTGAGGATGCATCAAAGAGATCAGGTATTCAAATATGTAACCCGGACATCGCCATCGGTGACTTTCTGGAGACCGATAGGGGGTTCGTTTGGATAGAGGTGGCCGAGGTACGTGTTTACAGCTGCTACTTCTCTCCAAATGATCCCCTCAAAAAGTTCGAGGCCGAGGTTCAGGCTCTTGAAGAAAGCATCAAAGCTTTCGGCGGGGATGTCCTCATTGCGGGAGACTTTAATAGTAAGTTGCCGGAATGGGGGGAGACCCGTTTAGACAAGAGGGGAACCTTGGTGTCGGACATGGTTGCAGCAAACGACTTGGTGGTGATGAATAGGGGACGAGAGTTCACGTTCAGACGCGGGGTATCAGGGTCCATCATTGATTTGACAATTGCGTCGCCCCGCGTGGCCCGTAGATTCGCGCGGTGGAAGGTGCTGGACGAAACGACTATGAGTGACCACCAGTACATAGAGTTTATAGTCGCTGAGAAAAATCCGAGAGGGAACATCAGGCCGCATATTGGTCACAAGAGTCCCTCCTGGAATCTCAGACGGCTAAATAGGGAGAAGTTGGTGGAGTCACTAACCGATGCTCGGGCTATACACGAGTTAGGCTGGATGACGAAGCCAACTTCAGTGGGTGATAAAGTGCGTGAGGCGAGGCGAGTAATTATTGCAGCGTGCAACTACTCAATGCCTCGCCGGCAACAAAAAAGAACTAGGAAGGGAGCTCTGTACTGGTGGAATGACGAACTAGCTCGCTTAAGGAGAAAATGCCATGCAGCAAGAAGGAAATATACCCAATCTTAGGGAGACCTTCTGCTGCAAGAAGAGTGGCAAGAAGCCAGGCAGATTTTTAAGCGGGCTATAAGGAGTAGCAAAAAATCGTGTTGGAAGGACCTGATTGGAGAAGCGGAGAAGGACCCATGGGGCTCGGCCTACAAAGTCGTCACTAAGAAATTAGTTTCGAGGCAAGGAACACCTGGTCTTGACAATCCGATCTGGGTCCGAAAGATTATTAAGGCGCTGTTTCCCCATGTGGAATCTGGCCCTAGGGAGGACTTTT